AATGCCGGTTTCGTTTCTTTTTGATTTTTTCTTTTTTTTTTTTTCACACAATCAGCTAAATTCTTCCTAGGCCAGTAACATGTAGAAACAAACAAAAAAATTACTGACAAATCCCTTTTATATTTCCTATCCCTCTAGAATATATAAAATGTTCATTTGTTTACAAAAAAATAATCATTTTTTTGAAGGTTCTGATGCTTCTTTTTCCCTCACATCCTCTACAGATAACAATTTGCTTATCAGCCTACTTTCTTTTTCCATCTTGATCTCATAAAGTTGTCTCATCGACCGATCACATCGATAACAAAGCAATGACCATAACTGACCAACAACAGTCAGCATAATTACAAAAGCTGCAGTGGCAACAACAATAGCAAAAGGCGGCGGAACAAATACAGTGTTTGAAAACAGCAATTAGCCAATTATTCATGGTAGTCATGAATTTTTTTGGAACTGAAAAATGATGGACACCAACAATTACAAAAGGAAAATGCGCCAGCGAAAAACATAATGGCAGACAATATGTTTTGGTATTTTTAAAGGCTCATCAAACGCTACATGTAAAAAAAAAAGAAGAGGAAAAAAATTATGGAAAATATCTATTCATGTACCAAACACTTCATTGTTGTTATACATCCTACTTCCTTTTTTCTCCTCATCCGTTTCTTTTTTCTTGGTTGCTTTTAAATATCTGACCAACTGTTCTCAGCAAATTAAGAAAAAACAATAAAAACCACAAAAAGTATCGTTTTTTTGTACAATAATTTTCAGGCAGTATAAACCTGTCTCCGACTAGCACCGCTAACTGATACTGATAGGTTGTTCGTTTTAATTCATGAACAATCAAAAAAAAAAAAGAAAAAAGGAAAAAATAGGAAACGTGGTATGCATTACTGACTAAAAACAAAATTTATGCAAAAACGGTTTGTATGCGAAACCTCAAAACTGAATTTTACAAATGCAGAATTGTTTCTCACCTGTCCCCTCCACCTCCCTATCCCCTTGCACTGTATTTGGTAATCTGTTGGGGGGTGCCAGCGGTGGCTGTTGGGTGCCGGCTGAGCTGTCGGAGCAGGATAAGATTTCAGCTTTTAACGGTTAGCTTTTGAAAATGAAAATTTCATATAAAACAACAATGAATAGGCGATGTTTACTTAGTTTTCGCATCCAAGTAACATATACTTGTTCAATGAAACATTTTTGTTTGAATGAGCAAAAATGGTGAATGAACAAGTCCACTGTTTTCAATTTCAATAGTACCCTCCCTTCTCGTCATACCATTTTTGAATTGTTGTCCCACCTCATTCCGTCCATCTCCTACCCGTCCAGTCCATCATCATTGTCATCATACAGTTTGTCTTTACTATTCAACATCTATTAACGCATTCTATTCAGCTCACTAGAAATAATGACAAAAAAAAATTTGCTACATTTTCGCTGCTGCCTGATGGACAACAAAAGTTGACCAAACTTTAGCTATAATCAGGGCTCAAAACCTGTACCAACTGTCGGTAGGCAATAATCACCTTTTCCCATCATCATTCTAATCGTCAACGACAATAGCAGTTAAAAGCAATAATAATTGTAATAATAACAAAAGCAAAAAAGCAAAAAACAGAGAAAAAAGTTTACATTTAATCCTTAACAATAACTTTTATTGAACAAAATCATTAACCGAATAGTACAATGTCGATTCACAGTTTTTTTGAATACTCCCAATTTCCTTATATTAGTGACCGCTACCCTTGACCAATATGTTCAAAACCATTTTCAATAATCAAAAAATCATAGCAATAATAATAAAAGCTATAATAATAACAGCCAAAAAAAATTGTCGGCTTTTTTTAAATTTAATTTAGAAATAAAATTTTTTTCCACTTTATTTGGGTTCATTTTACCTTACAATAGAAGTGTTAGTTTCTTTTTTTTTCTCAAAGCTGCGAACAGTTAACCTTAAATCAAATACAGCAGAAAAAAACTGGTTATAATAATTCCCTCTACTTTTCTTCCTCATTTATTAGTATAGTCTACTCTTTCCCCATTTTCCTTTCCCTTCTTCTTCTCCTCCACTTCCTTGCCTTTCTCTTAATATACTATTGCCCAATTCCAGCTTTAAAACTACTTTAAAAAAGCAAAAAAAAAAGAAAAAATTGATGGTCAGAATTCCACTGATAAACACCATTAATTTGACCACCGTAAAAGGCAAAGCCTTTTAGACCAGTTTTAATATCGTTCCGAATACTGCTAATAGTTGCTATTTTTGACTGCTTTTCTTTCCCAAAAATTATCATCTTTTTTTTCTATGCCCATTGCTTAATTCATTGTAGTCCTTCTTTAAGATTCATAAACATAAAAAAAACAAAAAAAAAAAAAAAAAAAAAAAA